ATAAATTTTACCTCTAGTGCAGATCCTTTTCCTTTTGGCAATGGGTTAGTTGATGTGAGTCTCGATGCAGCTTTAGTTTCGTCCGTACATGCGACGCATACCTTTGTTGTACGTCTCAATTAGAAGTCTTAGTATGAGGGAAGCTTAAGTTGCCACCGACTGGGTTAGGAGTGAATGGAATGAAAGGGTGGATCTCCCTCACCGCTTTTATATATTTTGAGCCTCGGTGCTTGTTAGTCGCTGAGGATGGAACAGTGCCCCTGAAGATAATCAACCCTTCCATAAAAATCCGCTCAACTTCGATCTTACTGACTCTTTCTTGATTTAAGCCTACGAGCTCCATCGTAGGATGGTACACCTCTTTTCGTCTGAGTCTGTGCCACCGAAAGCAGTGTCATTTTCGACTTGGCGTTGCGTATTTGTGACTTCATACAGTGAAGCAATGATGCTTCTACAAGGCAAGTATCTTTGGTTCTAATCGCTAAGCGGTGTTTTGTTATAGGATGAGTTTTTCTAGTTGTTATCACCACAAGCTTTGTTCTCAGTAAACTTGGGAAAGCTTAATTATACTGTTTGATGATCGAACGTTTCTTAAATCGTGTCGAGGCAGAAAATGCGGAGTCATTTTCAGTGAATACGGATTCAGGAATTTAGCCTGAGAAATGTGTATTGAGTAAAATACGAGACCAACTTTGCAGTTTTGCAAACCCTTTGATACATTTTGAATTTTGTCTAGAGCGACCTCTGAGCTGAACTTGTTTCATGTACTTTTTCTACCAAAATTGAATAATTGTGTTTCATAATTAAGTATTTTGTATTTCGAAAATAACATGTTATCTGAGGCGTTTTTGAGTGAGAAAATTTAATAAAACAAGGGCTCATGCGTTTCAGAGAAAAAAAACGCAATGAAACATAATTTCTGAAATCAGTGGCAAGTCGCAAACCTCCTCCCTCCTCCACTGTTGGTTCTGTAAGGCACCCATCCCTTAAGGTTAAGGCTAGGTGACACGTCATGACTTTTTAATAAGATTAATTCCTAACGCAGTAATTACCGTCGTCTTCACAAGAATTAGGGACTTTCAGCAGTCAGGGCGGCAAAGCCGAGGAAGACTTTGATTAAAAAATAAATTAATATTAATACGATAGAATTACTCGAAAGGCTGAATGTGTTAAACGTCTCTCTGGGCGCCACAGTGTAACGTACGTTAGCAGCGTTGAGTTCCAAATGGAAATTTAACTAATTTGCCCTTAGGGTTTCCGTTCTCAGACCCCGCAAATTTTGGTGATTTCACGTTGCTGTTTTGCAGAAGACCGCCACTAAGAAATGTGCAATTTTTAAAATGCACGCGCTGAGCTATTGTTCTGTCCTCTAAATATATATATGTATTTTGTTTTTGCCATGTCATCGCCGATTACCGTCGTCGTCGTGGATTACATAAGGTCCATAATGCCTAGCCAAATAACGTACTTAGGCATTTTGAAATGGAGAGTTTTGGTTTTCGTTGAAATATTTATCGTACTCTGACCTTGCTGATTTCTTAACCATGCCCAAATTTGATTTTGTAAATTGGCAGCAACTAGGTTTTACGTTTTCTTTGCTTGCTCAATGGGTGCCTCCATTAGTCAAGAGCAGCGTATTTATTGTTCAATGACCAAAGGAAAGGTCTTATTCTTGGTCTATCCGCATATGAATATTTGGAAAATTATTTATGGTGTTGAAAGTTATCCGGGACTTCGTGGTGAAACTGGTCTTGGTAAACTCGTCCCACCTCATTAGCTATTGAATTGCATATTAAAAGCTGATCTGCACATGGTGTTTTTTATTTGATTTCTGACTTTCTTTGTATAGTATTCTGCTTTTTCTTTTGATTAGCCATTGTGAATGTATTCCTTGGGTTTTCAGAAAAGCTCTTTGGAATCATGAAGTTTACCCAGTTGGAGATTATATTTTCTTTTACGGCGATCAAAGGAAGAAAATTCGCCTCAGTCGAGCGGATGACAATTATCTCTGGCAGTTTGTAGCAGCGTTTATCAGAGTGCGCATTCAGTTTAATCAGCTTTGGAGATGGATCCTCCAATATTTACGATTCTATCTCAGTTTGGGTGGTAAGATGTAAAACATGGTTTTTCAAGGCCTGTTTCGTTGAAGAAGGCCAAGCAGAAAGGGTTTACTTCACCATCGATAGTTGGATTGGATTTAAGGTCCACTGAGAGGAGCTGAACTCGGGGCCCTCATTCTTCCGTAAATTTACAATTCTTGCGTTTGGGCAATGAAAGACTCTTTCACATTTCTTGGGAGTACCAGATGGTTACTGGGAAAGTTCGAGCGACTCCAGAAAGTTGTGTCGATTCGAACATGGGATATCCGCATTTTATTTTCATGAAGTTTTCTTTATAGGAATTTGGCAAATTTTGCTGACTATGAGGAAGGGCAGACTTGCGATAACACTACGAATTTACAGTTTGCCGAAGTTCAGTTAATTCACTGACTAGAAAAACAACACAGCTTTGTTAACAGACATTTGATGTTCTATTCAGACTTTGAATGTTCACGAGAAGTTCCACACAACGTTCTAGTAGAAATTCTGGGAAAATTGCTCAGCCCCAGACAGGTAGTCACGATTTAATTTAACATGCTTATCATTTCTTGCTTGATATGGGAGAGATATGGCTAATGGATGAAACTGTATGGCTAGAATTATAAAGCGGTATACAGTCACATAAATAGCCTCCTACGACCTTGGACGCTCGGAACACCGTGCTATAGAACCGCCCTGCAAAACAATCTGGACATTCTTGTATTATATTTTCTTGTCAGTGATGTACATCGATGACTATTTTAAAATACCATTTGACTGCAAAAGCAGATTCTCCCACGCTATGTTTGAATAAATCCTATTGCTATCAGTTTTCAATCAGTCGAGAGTTTTGACCTCCACTGCGCTTAGGTCTTGTGAACACTGGAAAATAATAACAACTAAATAGACAAAACCGTGATAAGCTTGGAGATGAGTTGACGTTAAAGCTACGATTTTACGATTGTAATTGAACTGTAAGAAGAAATGATATTTTTTTGAAAAACTTGGGAAATTTTGAAATTTTAAAACGACTTAGGATAAATCCTGGAAACTGGAGGCGGAATGATTTGTCATGCTGGCCAGTCTCATGAACAGATCAGGCACTGACGGAATTTGACAGCTTTGAAATTTTTCTCGCGGATGCAATAGACGAAACAAAAATTTTTCGTGAAAAAATTTTATCCTTTGATTTTTTTTAGGGACAATTCTAGTTTTGTCCGTTGTTGCGGAAAGATCCTTAGATGGTATTAGGTTAATTTGGTATTATAAAATGGTTGGCCACCGTAGAGAATTACAAAGCTGACGTTTCGAGCGCTAGCCCTCCGTTATTCGCTACTAACGAAGGGCCAAAGCTCAAAACGCCAGCTTTAAAAATCTTCACGGTGGCAAATTAACGTTATCAACTCAGTTGATAATACTTAGTTACCCTATTCTACTCTCCCACCGACGCAGGACCACAGTTTCTTTAAAAGCTTATCCCCTATCTTGGATGTTAAATAACCTGTATTCACCAGATTAGTGCCAACGGAAAACTTTTAATGTTATTCTCTCATCTGTTGATTCCATTTAGTTAAAGGATCAAGGTTTGAGAGCAACGCCGATTCAACTCTGATTAAATCCTTTCGCTGATTTTAGCGTTGCCGGGTTTCTCTCGACATGTGTCCATACAACGGCGGAACTTTCTGTTATTTCTACTTGCACTCATCCCTCTATTCATTACTACCTTATCGATACAAGAATGGGAAGAATGTCCTTTTGTTATTAATTTATGGAATGTGCATTTGTAATTGTTAAAAGAATTGTCAATATTTATCTAAAACACACAGATGCTTACGTGTTTCTTCATCAAACTTCTTAAAAGCTAAAGAAACTAATGAAAAATGTGACCTCGCTCAACCGCCAATGCATTGGTCTGTTATTGATTATTATCAAACACGGTTACATAAGTTTTAATCTGAAGGTCCTCCAATTCTTTTCTGAGTCTTCATCACGAACAAAAGAATTTTAAGAGTCAGATTTCCACTTGGTTGCCATTCTCTATTTGAATTCACGTTTCTTGCTATTGTGAACATTTTGATTGCTGAGCAGCCGTAGTTATTTAAACAAACATTTGTCGAATTGATTGCAGTAAAGCTAGACAAAGTCATTCCATTCATTTATCTATATTTTATCTATTTTTCTTTTGATTCACAAAGCTGCACCGCACGATTTGAAATATCAGTTTTAGGATTAACATTATTGACCTATCTTAAGGGCGACTGTGGAAACTCTTGCAAAATGCTGTGGTATGAAAATAGCACTAAGGCACGATACATTGACTTGTTGCAACGATCGAACGATTTATTATCAAAGCCTATAACAGCTCTTCGGGAGATTTATTATCAAAGCCTATTACAGCTCTTCCGGAGAATTGTACGAGTGTCATTCTTTAAGGTATGGTCTGATTTAAGATTGGTATCTCAGAACAAACGTCAATTGAAGACTCTCTGGCGCCAGAGAAAGGAGAGTTGATGTTTTGATAGGAATAGTCAATAGCTGTCCCCATTTTTCTCAAAACGAATTCCTGTTTGAAAGAAATAAAATAGATGTTCCCCAGTATGGTTGGGCAAACTACAAAAGCTATAATTGGTAAACCAAAAATTTGATGTTGAGCAAAAATCGCACTTCTCCTTATATAAGTTAATCGAGATAAGAAGGTCTTCCTAAGGCGCTATTGTTATTGTTCTGCTGACCTCGTCTAAGCGCAAGTGAACCACAATGCTTTCAAACAAATGATCCCTTGAGTATCTTTGGTGCGTGCGCACTCGCACACTCGATATTTAAGTCACGTTCTCAACCTGTTATCCGTGAAAACTTACCTGCCTCGCGAATAGCTCTCCATTCCAAAGGAGTGGAGTTTAGGTGAAGTTATCCATAGAAACTATGGTGTTGTCTGCCGGGCAAGTATCGCTTTTGCTGGTTACTTTCCTCATGTCCAGCAGTGTCGAAGGTGATAGAAAATTCTTTTTTCATTTTTGCTTTTACCGTGCAGTTTATTCCTGGCAAACATACGTTATCTCACCTATAGCAAATAGTCTAAAGTTGTCGTATTCGTGTCGAAACTGGAAGTGCTGAATCACTCTCCCTCAGTATTTTTGCTTCCTTACTTTGGTGAAATTATCATTCAATTTTATGACTGGACACTTCTAACATCTCCGTTGATTGAATTTATAAGTAATACACATGTGCCAAGACAAAAACTCACGCATCAAAACCAAGATCGATATACATAGGATATTTATGACATAACAGGCATAAACAAGATCTTTTTATTCAATCCCTCGCAAATTTTTAAGCTTTTTAAAGAATAAATGAATATTGTTGAAAACAGTCACAGGGTAGAGCGTTTCTCCAAGCAATTGATCGGCACTTCACTTATGCGAACGCGATATTTAATATTTCAACCTTTTTCTATAGTAGTAGAATAGGTGAGGCGTACATGTTAACGGCACCGTACTTTTTTCTCCTATTTTTTATTTCGTATTTCTATATTTTGGATCCCTTGTTTTAAGTCACACCCAACCTAACAAAACAAAGACATCTTTAATGGAAACTCGAGGGTAATCCGAGATAGGGTTGTTTTGTTGCGCTGCATTGAGTGATTGGTCTAGAAGATTCGTGCCATCTTATCAGTCGTGATTACATATCAAAAGCTAATCTTTACTTGTTAACAGGCCATCACTAGAGGTTTAACCAGTCTCTCTGTTTTTCTTACGGTTCGTTTTATCGGGGATATTTTCTATCGTTCTGATCAACCATCGTGATCGCATGCCTTGGGTTCACCCAGGTCGTTGCCCAGGATGCATCGCAATAATAGGCGTACTATTTTACAACATTTTGCTGCTCGAGTTTTACTCAGGTTACTATACATATTTCCTCTAAGGTGTTAAACCACAAAACGGACACATTCGCCTCAGCCAAGTAAATGATGACTACATTTGCCGGCATGAGACATTTGAAAACCGTTTCATCAGAGGAACACATGTGAGCGTATTTGCCTCAGTCAACCGAGGAAATGGATCGTCCTTTATCTACGATTCTATCTTTCTTTGGGTGGAAGATGTAAAATACGATCGCTTCAAGGCTTGTGTTGTGGAAGGAGGCCGAGGAGCTGGGGATAATTTCACTATCGACTGGTTTGCAGTTCAAGGTCCACAGACAGGAACTGAACATGGTACAACACCATTTAGCAAATTTACTACAGGATCACAGTGCAACCGGGTGACATTTAAAAAGGTAAGATTCTTTGAACTTTCAAAGGCTGCGTGACTGAGTTGTTAAGAGTGCTGGGTCTGATATGACTTTGTATTAACTCATAATACTTGCACTCAATTGAATTTTCTTGTGTGTAACCCGATGCTGCGCCTTGGAAGAGGCCATCTGCTTTGCCATCCATCCTCGTTCCTCGAGGGCTGAGCGGTTCATCGCTGGCTATTGTGCCTTTCACAATTAGTGCAGAGGTGCCAGGCGCCTGAAAATCCTGAAATGAAGTTATGACAGATTCATTCATTTGAACTGAATTTTGGCATCGACGTAGTGGAAAGGTTGGTAGCGTACTACTGGGTCTACTCTTAGAATATAGCTTATAGCTTAGTTATTATTTTCATGTTTCCCTTTGTTGCATTCAGGGTTTTAAGAAAACTCCTACAGTTCACGTCACTGTGCAGCACACTAAAAAAGACCGGAAGTACGATGCAATGCTGGTTTGGATTGAAAACATTTCGCCAAGTGAATTTGAAGTTTGTTTACAAGAGTCAAGGGTATTCGATGGGCTCCACGAAGGACTTATAGTGGTGAGCCGTTATTCTGTCTATGTGCTGCTTAATAGGTTGTTTTGTGTTTTTCACTGATTAATTTATTTTCCTTTAGATTTTAACCAAAATGTTTTCTTTAGTAATGGCTTGCTTTCTTTTGTCCTTACATAATACTTTGATGTACTTGTATTTCTTATTATTTGTGTTTCCTGTTCTATATAGATCAATATTTTATCAAGATTAATTGATAATGCTGGTCACATGTGTTACTCGTAAAAAATGCCTCATCTTGTGCTTCTCCTTCCTTCTGTTGGTCATGGTTTCTCCTGTGTCCTAAATAAAGTATAATTAGCTTAAAATAAGTTTCTAACTTGTTTTATTTCTCACTGAGATCACTAAAGCAAACTTAAGGATATTATTATTCGTGGATCATGTGTAAATGTTATTCAGCTCTTAAGCTAATGTGTAATGTTCTTTTCTGCGTGCTCTTTACTCAAGAACTGGATGGCATACGAGAACTATCCTCAAAATTGGAGAGCTAAGGAGTCCAAAACCATTCTGTTTTCTGGAAAGGAGTTACCCACAGCCGAAAACAAGTATGCACTGTGTAAGGTACTGTAAGTCTGCCTGTGATTTCTTCCTTAAAGAAATTGGTCTATGATTTGTGAAAATCTACCGACCTATGTCATAAAAGCATTCTGCATGTTTAACGATAGTGTTCAACGAGGATTTCCTTGTCGGGTAAAGGACCTTTGTCAGTGTGAAAATAAAAACAAGGAAAGAAAAAATAAAAGGAAAGAAAAGTTTGGGTCACGCGTGTGGATCCAAGTTTAGCCAGTTTTAAACGTTTTTTATTTTAATTTTTTATTTCGTTTTTTGTTATGCCTATTGTTTGATTCCTGTTTTTTTTTTCTATTTTAACAGACGATCAAATACGACGAGCCGTTTTTTAACCCACCCATCGTTCTGACAACTGTCTTCAATGCTGCTCAAGGTAACAAATCGAACAATGGATGTGGTGCGAAACAAAAAGAGCCTTTGCTAACCTGGATGGAGGTAAGAGTAACGCTAAAACTGACCCCTGAGTTTTGCCTATGACTTATTAACTCGCCGATCATGCTAGATTTAGATGAAATTTAAAAGAGAAATGAAGTACAGTTTTGAATTGAACCTAAATCAATCAAATATGTGACAAAATAGCCCTGTTAGTTTTCCCTTTATTTTCCCTTTGTATCATTTCTTTTTTTTTTAGTTTGCTTATTTGTTCATTGCTTTGTTTCCTGACCTATTCTTTTCTTTCCTTTCTTTTTATCATAAGTCCTTTGTTTTTATCTTCTCGTTTGTGTTTCTCTCTTTTCTTCTCCTTTCTCCTCTCTCAGTTAAGTACGAGAACTTTGCTCCTGATTTTTCATCAAAGTTACATGTGCTCAAAATTCCTTAATTTGTCATTTTATTGCTTGCTTTTCTTTCTTTTATCCTTCAAGGGAGTGACCAAGAAACAATTTCAAATTTGCATAATAGACCACGCAGGATACGGTAACCAAAGAAGCGACGTGGTTATAAACTACTTAATTATTGGAGGTGAGGCTGAAAATCCGTGCCTTGTTTTAGAAACAATTCAAATTTGTACTTAAATAAACGACAGTTTTCATTTATTTTGGTTTGTGTACAGAGGAAATTCCATGATGGGCAAGTGTTCTTGGTGCTCTAGTATGCCTTGATGATCAGCAAACAGAAGTTGATCGTTGAGCTCTTTGGTTTTTACACGAAGTACCGTGTACAATTGCATCGGGACCCTATTTTATGATATGTTTTTTAATTATTGATTCGTTTACTTATTTTTCTTTCATGCTCATATGTATGATTTCAAATAGTTTGTACCCATATGAGGTCAAACCCCGTCTATACTAGCATTCTACCTTAGATATGGTTAAATTGTCTATGCATTATTCAATTTCATGAGAAATTTGTCAACTAAGCGCAGCAAAATATTAGAAGTGAGTGAGTCAATCACTCCATGATTTCTCTTGTTCTTTTGCCGTTGTGGGGTAATAAATCTTCATCTTGTTTTGTTGTTAAAGTTGTTGTTTTTTTTGTTCTTTTTATTCCCTTGCTCACTCGGTTTAGACCGCCTAAAACTTTCATGCCTTCCATTCACTAAATGTGTGATTTCTTATTCTATTATAGACCTCGACCCGTGTAGAAATATTAACTGCACTTACGAAAGCTTCTGCTATGCTCGTGATGAGTGGACGTATGAATGTCGCTGCCGAAGTAACTGCCCATCGTACGAGGAACATGTGTGTGGTTCCAACGGTCGAACTTTCAGGAATATGTGTGACTTCAAACAAACGATTTGTGAAGAACGCGGCAATTATACAAACTATCATCCTGGAAGATGCAATGGTATAAAATATTGTCTTTTTGTTTATTAAACTTAAAAAAAAAATATGAGAGATCTGAAAAAATAATTTGGTTTTATTAATTGAGTTGATAATGTAGATTGGTCTCCTCAAAGGATTTCTAAATCTGACATTTCGAACGTTAACCTTATATTCCTTTTCAATTTTCTCCCAATTTGCAGAGTGCAATGTTTTTGGTCTTTTTTGTTGTTTTCTTTTGTTGTTTTTGTTCCTTTTGTTTATTTATTTGTTTGTTTGTTTTGTTTTGCTCTTCTCTGCTCGTTCAGTTTTTATAAACTCGCTATGAAAAAGAAAGCTCAGAAAAGAGGCGTAGAAAGGTTAAAAAGCTTTACTGAGTGGCACGATATATTGGTTTTTAAAATTTTTTAAAAGAAAAAAGTTAATTTTAAGACTTCGCAGTTACCTTCTTTTCATCTGGAGCTACCGTAGCTTGACAGGTCGCGATTTCCAATGAGACGTGGAATGGGGAAAAAATAATAACTTTTTGGTTTGATTATAAAATCGCAAATTCTCGAAGTGTTAATATCGATTATATTTATTCTCGAGCACATGGATAAGCTTGAGTGTCAACATAGCACAAGAACTTGATTTTCAAAAGGTGCAAATGGGCGAAAAAATCTTTCTGGCTCGATTCACATTAGCCAAAATGATTTTGAATTCTGAGTTTTTAAAAATTGCAAAACGGTCATCTCGCAAAACAGCTCGCCTTCCTTCCCTGAAAATGCCCGTCATCCTGCAGAAAATACCCACGCATTTCGTTTTGGGCCTTTGCAAACTTAGGGAGCAAACCAAACTTTCCAGCAGACTACTGAGGTATAAATGAACTCCTTCCAAAGAATAGAGGAACTCATCAGCAAAAATTAACTCATTTTTCAGTTTTGGTGCCGTATTGCATATTGTAGCAACGTTAAAATTTCATGTAGCTTAATACACCAAAATTTGGAAGAGTATGAAAAAAATTAAGGCGACCTCACCTATAACATGATATGATAAATATGTTATCTTGGGGCAATCAGATGATTAACGGTCCATTCGATATGGCTGAGCCTATTCTGACTCCTTTCCCTATAGTCAAAACGTGAATTTTTGAAATCGTTTTCGTTGTTGTTATTTCCGTCCAACTGTAGGTTTCCCTATGCAGAAAGGAAGACACGAGTTTCCAAATCCTCCTCTCGGGATAGAGGATCAGTGTGTTGTGATCAAGTTCAAACCTTTCATATTCTATCCTCTTAAGGAAGTTCACGTGCAACTCACTGTGAACCACTTCAACTACTCGTATGCCGATTGGGTACATGAAGCTGCTACACCTTGGGTCGAAAGCGTTAACGTCACTCAGTTTACTGCCTGTGTTACTCGAACTGGAAAGGACAAATATCTTGCAGACAGCTTCCCTTCAATAGACTGGATGGCCTATCAGGGAAATCCACCTGGAGGAGTAGCAGGGGAAGCGAATTTCACAACATGGTCGACTGGAACTAGCTGCGTAACAGTCCCTTTATCTCCAAAGGTATGTATTCCTCTGTAATTTAAGAGTAATGAGATTTGGACATTTTTTGATATACATCGTATTAATTTTTTATGCTACTTTGAAAAGTGCTCTAGAAACTTGCACTTTTTAACTCTTTTGTTGTCAAACAAGGATTGTGTTATTCCTATTTCAACTTGCGGGAGACGCGGTGCCATTACGGTCAGTTCGCTCCGTTCGAGACCTGGCCGAGTCAATGCGTCGTATTCTTGAGCAGATCACTTTACTCTCACTGTGCCTTTCTACACCTTGGAGTATAAATAGGTAACGGGGGGGGGGGGGAGGGGGGAGCACTTGGCTTGACTAGGCAAACCACCTTCCAAACTATGCAACTGAATACTCCTATTTAACACCAGTAATTTAGTGCGAAACTTCAAACTGCTTTGGTTTAGACTGAATCTCCTGGGCCATATCGCTCGAAGGCTGTTAGCGCTCACCCAGGTTCAAGTTTTAATCTGGGTTCCTATATTCCTTTGTTCAATAGCCTTTTTGGGATAATTCTCTACATTCATTATAGATCATCCAAACAATAAATCGTAGACAAAGAGAATTACACCGAATTTTCTGTTAAAGCTCTCAGATATGAGATCAGATTTCACACTAACCTTTGGTCATCTTACCTAGCTTTGAACAACCCGACTTTGGAGAATAAACTTATCATTATAGGATTTATTTTTGTTATGATGCCATTTCATGACCTAATGATGATGAGATGTGCTGGTTCTTGTCGTGTATCTTTTAGTATAACTTCATAGTCAAATTAGTTTCCTCATTTTTTCAACTTTAGCGTTCTGAGCCCCCGTCTGTCTTTGCAACAGCAGTGCACCACAGAACAGGTCTCAGGTATGACGCTACCTCTTTATGGCTCGAAGATGTTTCAACGAGTTCTTTCCAGATCTGTCTTAGAGAATTTCAAAACTTCGCAGGAGCTCATGATAAAATTACAGTGGTAAGTTTTGTGCTCAGCTTTGTTACTAGCTGGTGCTGACTCTAAATTATCTGGTTTCCTTAGCCCTTGGAATTCTAAAACATGGGATCCCAACCAGGTACTAAAGTTCCAGCTGTCACTAATAGTAGGCATTGTCGTAATGAACTGCAGCACTCGATCCTGAGTAGACTTTCCAGTATTGTGCAAGGAAAAGAGAATGCTCGGTTGGATAGCAGACGTTTCTCTGATAGTGGCAGGAACTATTGGCTTCGTGTATGACCTAATCGCCAAACATCATATTTCTTAGTTCAATTTCTACCCAGGCATACGTCTATGTACTTACCTTCATGAATTAAGTCTTCTGTTTTTCTCCCAGAGCTGGCTGTTTTTCGAAAAAACACCTAGACCATGGTTTAAGGAGCACGGCCTCGTCAGCTTTCCGAATACTGGTTCGCCGTCGGAAGAGTACAACTACGCTTTCTGTAAGGTAAGTGTTGCGCCCTTTGGCAAAAGTGGTTGCGTGGGTGTGGGTGCGTGCATGTAGTGCACTGGTAGACCAATTTTAAAGTTTTACCTTAAAGGTATCGTATATTTGACTAATTTTTCTTACTTTGGCTTTAGGCAATTGGTCAAGAAAATTCTCGTCATCCAATAAACTAATTAGATATGTAATAAAGCCAGTCTAACGTTATAACTAAACAGGCTGTTTAGTGCTGCGAGCGTCGTTCTTCCTTTTGATCTGATTTTTTAGACTGAAAAACCAGTTAAATCTGCTTTTTAGGTTTTTATTTAGTTCGAATGCATTATGCAATAATCGTATTTTCTTGATTTTATCATTGTTGATTTCATTTAATTGGTTGAATGACTTATTTGTCAAGTAATTGAGAATTTTCCTCATTTCATCAAAAGGATGTGAGTTACACTCGATCGGCTTACAAAAAGCCCCCAAAAGTATTTATAAGCGCCAGTCATTCTACCAGTGGAGGCAATGCTCCAGCAGAGTGCAATGGAATCGTTAGCTGGATTGAGGTGTGTCAAATTATAACTTATCCATTATCATGACAGGAGGTTTAGATAGGTAGCTGCGTTTATGCTTTTACTGTATGTTGCCATGCATATTTTTCTTTGGGTCTTCGTTTACTTCCGTACTTCAATGGTTCAGTTCCTCGAGGTACAGGGGGCTGTAAGTACAAATATGATTTTTACTTACCAAACTAAAACATTGCATTTCCAGAATGTTTGTTTTTTTTGTTTCTGTTTGCATGTTTGTTGTTGTTGTTTTCAAATTTGTCGTCGTAGCATTTACAGAGTTGCGTCATCAATAATCAACCATGTATACCTAGACAATGTTCCGTATCGATGATGTCATATAATGAGATACGCTTAGCTCTATTATTAAAAAAAATAATGTTTGTTTTATTTTTTTAAAGTATATCACAGAGAAGGCATTCCGAATCTGTGTCAAAGAACTGGAAGTGCAACGCTTTGACCCACTGAACGTTTCATATGCGGTGTTGGGAGGTACGAATAATCTATTAGGCGGAGAGCCGACCTCAATAAATGACAACCTCTAGCGCATTTAAGTGGCGATCTCTGTAAGAGCGGTCCAAGGCATTTCGCATCGGAAAAAAGGTTTTTCCTCAAACTTTCCCCAATAAACTATCTTTGGTAACAAGTAAATAAAACCACATTAGTTTCTGGAAATACGTTAAAATAAAACTTTTAGAGCTCTCAAAAGTCGAAGCTGCAAAAGGCCCTTTTTTGACCTCTTGCGTCATCGAAAATTTCAAAAGTTGAATAGCCCGGTCCTCGTATCACACCGCATGCAGCCAGAAATATTTTGTATTCTTAAACTGTGTGATATATAAGGTGTATAAAAAGCATTTCAATTTTGATATTCGTTTATTCAGAGGCTCGCCATAATTTATTTAAAAACACTCGTCGGACAGCTTTCTGAAATTGATCAAAAGTACTCTTTCTTTCTTGGTTGATATTGCTCCAGTCCAGACCAGACCATTAAAAACTCCGCTTGATTTCTGCTAAGAAGATGTTTGGCTGCAGTAAAATATAAAAATATCTTGCACCTATTGATTTTCTTCGCAGAGGTGACTTCAAACTTTTTGTGGTATTGCTAGCGTGACAGCCGATTACGCAAATTAGTTCATTGAGCAAACTCCGACCGTTTTATATGAGTAGCTCAATAAATCTTAGATTTTAACCATTTTGAGTAGAAAATATAGTAGGACAGAGCTTTAAGACCACACCGATTAATACTTTAAACATTTTAAAAGGCCAAAATTTGACAAATTTTATTATCTCGTGACGAAAGACCTCAACAACAACAACGTATTGAATATCATAATTTGATCAGCGCTCGCAAACTCGCTTTTAAAAATTTGGCTTCTGTTATTTCATATTTGAGTTCTGACAGCTTTTTTCTATTCAAACCTGTATGAATATTTCAAACCAAACTACAGGATTCTATTTAGTGTAACCGGCGATAACAGCACACACTGAAATACACCGTGACCCCTGTCCCGTAATTCAATTGTGTAATTATCCTGAATTGTTTCTCCCTTCGCAATAAAGCGGCGATAACATCGCCTTTTGGATCAGAATTCTGGTCGGCAGGAGTAAGAGAAATTTTGTCTGCACACCTGTCTTCATGAAAGTTTCTATTCAGAACTCGAGGGAGTTCTTGTGGAAAAGGACACCGCGATCTTTGAGGAAATAAATTATTATGTTACGTGTCACCTCATTTTTCCAACAATTAGCTATATGTTTGTTGTAAAGCGCGTAATTTTATTATTTTGAAAGCGAGCTCAAAATGTTTGCACATGTCTCTTAGAATCTTGACTTTGAGGCTAGGCAACCTTGTTTCTCTTGCCAACGAGCACACAACATAGATATCAAACATGATTGGATGTTTCAGTCGTATCTCATCCATTATTGCGTCCCTCGCCTCTCTCAAACACTCTTCGTCTACATCAGACGCGGATGCCTCCATCAAGTGGTCGTCTTCGTCGTCTGCGTCGGTGGCGTCATCCGATTCTTGTTGTATTTTAGATAGCTGTTTAAGGCACAATCTCGAGAATAAACCTTGAATCTGTATGTTGGATAACCACTCTGTTCTATCGAACATTCTCTCTCCATCTATTGTGCAAGCAGTTCGCATATCCTTTGCTACTTTCTCTGGGTTTGGTTTCTGCCAGTGTCTCATCCGATATTAAATTTCTGTGTCAAGTACTGCCTGACATTTTGCGAAAGCCGTTCACTTACACCTCTCGTATGAAGAGCCCATTCCATGGGAAGCTGTAAAGCACTTGTCAAGGGTTCTGTGGCCACTGCAACCAGTTCAGTCGAACTTTCACCTTCTAATGACAACGACTGAAAGTGATGAACACACTACCTCTTCACTTTGTCATAAAGACTTTAAGTCATGCTCGTAGGCACAGGACTTACATGATGAACTAGCTAGTTCATATGGAGGTCAAGGTCGGCCTGGGTCTTAAAATCTTAATCGCAACCAGGTTCAGGGCATTGATAGGAACTACCGTCGTTGCCATCATTGCTTTCTCCTGCTGATGCAATTCGTCGAGCAGTAGTGGGGAAAAATGGAATCTCCTCCACCAGATCCGTCTTTTTTCTGTGGAAAAATTGCAATTTTAATTTTACTGAATAAACTTTCTAGGCCTCAACATTAAACGCTCTCCAAACGCGGAGAGTAAACTCAAAGATGTGTAAGTTGGCAATCTTGTTAATTTATACGGTTGAGTTCTGTTCCTGGACTATGCACACTGACGCCGTCGTTCCCCTGACCGGTCTCTCTTTCAATGCGGTATGTATGTTTTTAGCAGAAACAACAGTATGGCTTTCGTTGCAGTATCTCCTGATTGCGCTTTTAACGGACACAGATTCCTGTGACACATTTTTTCCAGCCTGTGGCAAATAATCGGATCGTACCTAACGAGTTCGATCCCTGGCGATATCCGAGCTCTCATAGAGATGATACCAGCTTACTGTTGTGACAGCAACCTGCTTCATCCGATCTTAGAAAGGTCTTTATTATTTTTTTTTTGCAACTTTTGCAACTTTATGGTGACGAAGAGATTTTCTAGGACTGACAGTACTGAAAACCAGTCTTGTTCACAGCTGTTAAGAAGGTGTACGTATCAAGTCACTTTCAGGCTTTCCTCCTGTCTTACAACAACGCTACTCACATGCCAATTGATTCTCCTCTTGGCAAACCATTCTGCTTGTTTTTCCCGGAACTTCATCGCTATGAACTTCATTGTCAAGTCAACTATTATAAATGTTTCATCTCTCTTCAAAGTATCAACAATTTGCCGCTTGTACTGATCCTGGTTTTCTGCTCGTAGGATATTTCCAATTTCACTGTGTACTCAGAAATAGCGCCTTTTATTTCTTCAAGAAAACTCTTCTCACAATCCTCACACTTCACGTTGTGACTGCATGTGACTGTACACTTTCAGAAAGTCAGTGTCACCAGCATCGCTCAGTTCAAAGCCTTACGGTGATCGGCACATTTGCTATCGTCCTCTTCGCGGTGATTACGGTATGTAGTCTTCAAATACAACTTGCTCTCCTGAAGCCTCTTCCGAACTTCTTTACACAAATCCTTTTCTGCTCCCACGCGTTCCAGTTTGTCTATAATTTGGAGAAAATCCTTGAAACCATCCGCTCCCTCAGCTGCAGTATTGTCTAAACCTCTATAGACAGAATACTGGCTCTTTACCCCTTTGGAATCGCTACCAGGGTGTGTCGGATACTGGCACGTTGTACTTTGGCGCCAGAACTTCCCATAAGTGTGCCTCTGCTTTGCGCAGACCCACATTTTGCCACAACTGAGTCTTCTACATCGAACAGGTCAGAACTTGCAAAGACAAGCTCTCCTTCCGTGACACTCTCTTTTGAAAAATGGATTAAGCAGAGACGACTCTCTATTGAGTCAGTACTCTAAGGCAGGTTAAACAAACCAGAAACTCCTCGTGAGTCTCCGAACGAAGTTTCTGAGGATCGCGACGGAAAACAGGACTTCTTGTTGCGAGTACCGCTTCAAGAATTTAGTGTTATTAATCACAAGCAAACCAGTACCGAAAGAGACATATGAATTACAGTTAATAAAATTACGCGCTTTACAACATACATATAGCTAATTGTTGGAAAAATGAGGTGACACGTAACATAATAATTTATTTCCTCAAAGATCGCGGTGTCCTTTTCCACAAGAACTCCCTCGAGTTCTGAATAGAAACTTTCATGAAGACAGGTGTGCAGACAAAATTTCTCTTACTCCTGCCGACCAGAATTCTGATCCAAAAGGCGATGTTATCGCCGCTTTATTGCGAAGGGAGAAACAATTCAGGATAATTACACAATTGAATTACGGGACAGTGGTCACGGTGTATTTCAGTGTGTGCTGTTATCGCCGGTTACACTAAATAGAATCCTGTCGTTTGTTTTGAAATGTTCATACAGGTTTGAATAGAAAAAAGCTGTCAGAACTCAAATATGAAATAACAGAAGCCAAGTTTTTGAAAAAGAGTTTGCGAGCGCTAATCAAATTATCATATTAGATACGTTGTTGTTGACGTTTTTCGTCACGAGATAATAAAATTTGTTAAATTTTGGCCTTTTAAAATGCTTAAAGCATTAATCGGTGTGGTCTTAAAGCTCTGTCTTACTATATTTTCTACTCAAAATGGTTAAAATCTAAGATTTATTGAGCTACTCATATAAAACGGTCGGAGTTTGCTCAATGAACTAATTTGCGTAATCGGCTGTCACGCTAGCAATACCACAAAAAGTTTGAAGTCACCTCTGCGAAGAAAATCAATAGGTGCAAGATGTTTTTATATTTTTCTGCAGCCAAACATCTTCTTAGCAGAAATCAAGCGGAGTTTTTAATGGTCTGGTCTGGACTTGAGCAATATCAACCAAGAAAGAAAGAGTACTTTTGATCAATTTCAGAAAGCTGTCCGACGAGTGTTTTTAAATAAATTATGGCGCGCCTCTGAATAAACAAATATCAAAATTGAAATGCTTTTTATACACCTTATATGTCACACAGTTTAAGAATACAAAGTGTTTCTTGCTGCATGCGGTGTGATACGAGGACCGGGCTATTCAACTTTTGAAATTTTCGATGACGCAAGAGGTCAAAAAAGGGCCTTTTGCAGCTTTGACTTTTGAGAGCTCTAAAAGTTTTATTTTAACGTATTTCTAGAAACTAATGCGGTTTTATTTACTTGTTACCAAAGATAGTTTGAGGGAAAATTTTTTTCCGATGCGAAATGCCCTGGACCGCTCTTACAGAGATCGCCACTTAAGTTCCTCACTTAGCAATAGATTTAAGCACTTGGTGTTCCTCATAGTGGAACAGATTACATTCAAAAGAAAAAAAAATCACATCAGTATACCAGTAAATTAAGAATAAAAGAAAGGGTAGTGATAATAATTTCATAAAGCTGGGATATAACGCGCGCGCTGTCACTGATTAAAAGAGCGTGATCTATGAGAGTATAGAGCATAGAGCTGAGCTAAAGCTTTCATGCTATCTGCCGAATTGTACTATGGCCGACCTTTCCCGGGAATTCTCTTTAGCTCGTTTTCGTTAAGTGAAAGTGAAATTTCGGAACAAGCAAGCTGGCAAGTAACAACAAAAGAACCAAACAAAGGTTTGTAAACATACCAGGCGCCGTAATTTACATTATTATAACGTGAGCAGAGGCGAAAATCTTCAAAGAGAAAACGAAATGGACAGTCTGAGTTTTAAAGGTTTTCAAACTCAGTTAGATTGCAAACTTACGTACGGTAATAAAAACAAACACCGCTAACACTCGTATAATATATAAAGTTTCGTGCTCAAGAACAAAAGAGAACAAAACAGGAACGATGAAAAATATAACTAAACTGGCTTAACTGCAATTCATACTAATCATGACGCTGTCAGAGCGATTGCGTTCATGCTGAGGTCCATCGCGGCTAGTTAATCATGGCGATCATTGGTCATTCCAGTAGAGCAAGCCCCATTAACTTCATCGGCCTCCCTTCGAGAGAAAGCACAAACATTATTATGTTTGACCTTTTCCGGGACTTTTTTCTGGCTTTTTTTCGTCAATTGAAAGTAAAATTTTCAGAACAAGTGAGCCGGCAAGTAGCAACAGAAGAACCAAACAAAGGTTTTAAAAAAGGCCAGGCGCCGTAATGTACGTTATTATAACGTAAATTGAGACGAAAATCCTCAAAGAGAAAACGAAATGGACAGTCCGAGTTTTAGAGGTATTCACGCTTAGTTAGATGGCAAGCTTATGTACGGTAATAGAAATCAAACACAGCTCACACTCGTATAGTAAGTAAAGTTTCATGATCAAAAACAAAACAGAACAAAACAGTGTCAGAGCGACTGCCATCACGCTGAGATGGCGATCTTCGGTTATCGCAGTGAAGCAAGCCTCAGGAACTACATCGGCCGCCCTTCGAGTGAAAAAATTAGAGCTCGCTCCGATATCCTTTCCGATGCGTTGAGTGGAAGGCCACATTAGTCACTGCAGCCGAGTGTTACGGCGCTGTCATTCCGAGCGATCTTCATGTTCCGGTGAATTCGGCTGTCGTTCATTTATAAAACCCTTTCCTTGAACTGTTTGTTTTCTACTTGTCATGTGAAAAAACTTGCGTGTTTTTATGAGCCACAATTCTGCCGAGTTTCACTGAACATTTCACTTTCAGATTCTGTATTAGGGACTAAAAAACTTCGGGCAGAAGTCTTTATTCGACCTGCCGAACTATTCAAGTTTTTAAACTATTGCATAATGTTAACTTTGATGGTTTGACATTTTTGACAGCTTTAGTCTTGTACAGCTAATCAGATTATTTGAACCATTGTAACAGGGATTCTGATTGGCTTATTGTAACGTGCTCTATGAGAGTATAGAGCATGCTGACGACACTGTTGCTCGCTTTGGAAATAAAGTTTGTTTTGAAAATTGAAAGTAATGCTTGGGAGTTTGCTTAGGGAATTTAACGGATTTTTTTTTTATAAAACAAGTAGAGAAGCCTTGACTGTGCTCTGTTCAGTTGTAAAGCACTTAGGAAGCGGCTAAAGCACTAAAGAAGTGGGGAGAAACAAGGTACCCGTGAGCTGGCGAGAGTCAATAACTTCTAACCTTGAGTCATTTTTCACCATTTAAATGAAAAGAAATCCTTCACAAAATTCAGCCTTAATTTGCTCTTTATCCGGCTGCAAATATAACAATGCACCAAATAGTTAAAACAGAACGACCAATTAAAAAACTGTAAATCTTGTTTATCTTACAGACAGTATTTGTAAAGACGACTGGTACTATTTCGATAACTTTTGCTACAGTCAAGTGGCTGCATGCGATAACTGGGACAACAGCAATAGAGCATGTGGCTTAAAGTCAGCTGACCTTCCCAGCATACGTAACCAGGAAGAAAACGTTTTTGTCCAAAGTCTGCATGGTGGAGAACACTCCTGGTTGGGGCTCAATGATATCAACTCTGAAGGGAATTTTGTGTGGAGCGACAAGAGCACATCCAAATTTAGGCGTTGGGCAAAGGACCAACCGAACAACTATGGCAATGAAGATTGTGTTCATACTCTTGGCTTCCTTAAAAATCATCATTACGAATGGAATGACGTGAACTGCTCTGATTGTCACAGATATTCTTGCAAGAGAGGTTAGTGCCTGAAAGAATATGTAGAAGTATACTGCAGCTGAAAATATCATATGGGACATCTAGAAAATTGTTTAGTGACTGTCATGCTTCAGTGAAACAATAGTTTTGCCACAATTATGTTTTGCTTCAGTTGGGATCGCTATGAAGCGTCTCTGAGTACCTAAGAACAAGTCTCTGTAAGAATCAAACATCTTGGGAAATGAAAATTTTCAACCCCCCTTCAAATTTTGCATGCAGGTAGGCACGCAGGGGGGATGCACAAAAAATGCCCTTTTTACAGGTTGCAGCACTCTTGTTGCCATGGTAACAACGGCTGCTTGTTCGAGGACTGGTGCCTCATTTTCATAAAAAAAAAGTCGCAAAAAGAGTGAAATGTTTATTTCTCTATCTCAAGCTAAATAGAACATTACAAATTGGCACTTCTACCATACATAGTGACATCATTTATCTTCATTTTGATACATTTAATTTTCCCTGGGAGTGAATGTGAACACACCAATAGATTATTTATCTCATTACAGTTTCGGTCATTTTTGTTGTCGGGTAAAACTGGGAAAACGTTTATCTAAATTCTCCAAAAGTATACAGATTCTGGAACTGAAACTATCCACCTAGCTGGTTACAATATTCTAGTTTTTAAATATGAAAAAATTTCTGCGGGCCTGCCTGTACTTTCCATAGGGGTAATTCGCGAACGAAGCTCAAAATCAGATATTGCATAATTTGGCGATGTTTACTTCTAATGTTCTAAACAACAAACGTTTCAGAAAAATGAAACGTGCGAAGCTTTTTGGCTGTTTTTACTTAGAATGCGCGGAAATCTGCTGATATATCGAAAAATGTCCGTTTCTCGTCTTCTTTGGGGCGATAGATGGAAACCTCATGGAGAAATACAGCGTCACGCCATCGTGAAAACGTACATTTTTATGACAAATGACCGGTGTGAGGATAGTTTCGTGTAGATCACTGTTATACTTGTATGATTTCCCAAGATGTTTGATTCTTACGGAGACTTGTTCTTAAGAAGTTCCGTTTCTGTGCCTACTGCCTTCCTGGAATCTCTTTTTTTGTCATGTTGTCATAAAATTTTGCTTTCGCAACCAGGCTTTTAAAATAAAAAGGATGAAAGGGAAATTATACAACATTGCTTTACTACACTGCAGTACTACCCAAATATGCAGCAGTAGGCACATGCAGTCATAAACTGCCTTTTATTTATTTCGCCTGCTATAACCATAATAAGAAACTGAATAACCATTTGTGTTTGCTTTCTTTTACAGATTATGATGAATGTGCTGACCAAAATTATGACTGCCCAGCTGATTCTCATTGCGTTAATGTGTTTGACGGTTACGACTGCCGATGCAATAAAGGATTCTTTCTGAATGCTAACAAAAAATGTGAAGGTATCTCGATTTTAACTATGACTAACAGAATAAGTCAGTCAACAGTGAGTTGATATTTTCAACCCTTAGGCAGATTATTTCCACATTTAACACTAGAAAAAAAAATGAGAAATCAAACTGTTTGATATTTGGAATAAAACCAAGGCACTGTGATCTTGAGATATGAATGTGCTGTAGTTAAAGTTTGCGAACACTTTTTTTTCCTCCTTTTTTTTTGGTGCGAAACAGACTGGGTGGAGTGCGACCTGGGGAAAAGTTTTTATACCTGCCCTGCCAAATCGACCTGCGAGAATGTTCGTGGTTCCTATAGATGTAGATGTGAAACTGGCCTGGCAGGAACCGGCTTGGCAGGAACCGTTAAAGGATGTGGGGGTAAGTTTCCGATGATTAATTGAGAATCTCCCGTTGAAAATTATTTAAACTTTTCGTTTGATGCCTCCGTTTCTTATGAAGATTTTTTTCCCCTACTGTGACTTTCTCTAACGTCCTAGTTTTAATCGTTTGCTCACAAAAAACCGATTTCATCGACAAATTTTCTCCCAATTTATTTCTACAGCAACTGCTTTACTGATTGGTGCCACTGTGGTTACATGCGAAGCAAATTATTTCATTCCTTAAAGAGGATCTCGACGGGGTGACAGTTTATACGGCAAAACTATTGAATTAAAGCTATTTTAAAGTTCTTTCCGTTATGGTTTTAAGGAAGGTTTTTACGTAATTTTTTTTACTTATAATGTTTAAAATTCGGCTGACGGTTATCCCGTTTTAAACCTTATTTAACTGCCCCTGATCAATAGCATTTATGTTTTGATAGCAAAAAACACGGAGACAGAACATCTGATCCAAGACTGAAAAATTCACGCGTTCACACTCATTCACACACCTTTGTAGAACATATCGACATATCAGGACAGAATCATCCTTAAAAATATACTTTCACTACTTTTACAGCACCTTACGCGACAGTGACTTCTTCCTGTGCCGATACAGCAATATGGCTATCGAATACAACAGGGTACATCGAGCCAATTGATAATTCAAAGGCTACTAAATACAAAAGTAACATGAACTGCACGTGGAATATAACATCAAATGGACAAATTGATCTTGTCTTTATACGTTTGGACACCGAGGATAAGCAAGATAAGGTCGTCATACACGATGGTAGATCAGCTTCTGCTCCTGTGATTGGTACCTTGTTTGGAGACACTACCCCCCAGGAATCGTTCACAAGCACACTCAACAATCTATTTGTGAGATTTGAATCTGATGGTAGTAAAGAATATAGAGGATTTTTGGCGAGATATCGAGGTAGGTTTGTATATATGTAATGTACATTGTTTGCGATATTTGGACTGGCTGGCTCGCCCAGTTCAGCTTTAAGCTAGTTTAAATGGGGTCCTGTATAAATAACAAGGCATAAAGTTTATTGTCCCTATCTAAGAAGATTAGAGTGTCTAATCAGTCGCGGATTTCTTAGTTAAGAGAGCACCTTCTGCTCAGATATTTTATGACCTTGAGTGTTGGTCCTGTCGGTGACTTGAACTCTTTCCCACCCGCACGGCAGTCCGGCGATCTACAGCGTGAGTTAACTAAGCTTGGTGTGTGTATATAATCAGGAATGGGTATTAAAATACACCATTAAATAGACATTACACCAGTTTGCGTGCGAAAGCTAAGCCTTTGGAAAATAATTGATGCTAAAATTGGCTTTGCTGTTTTATTACGTGGGGTTTTTTTTGATTATGCTCAATAAGTTATTGTCCCTCAGTTGACCCTATCGTTGAAAGTTCACTCACATCCTTTTTGCACTTTTCTTCAAAGAATTCGCCGTGTTCGATTCAGCGATAAACTTGTCCACCAAAACAGATGCTATGTAGTTTTGTCTACATGGATAATTAGCTCTTAGCGAAAAAAGACGTACAGTGTCCACTTTGTAAAAAAAAAAAGTGATTTAGAGCGTGCAAGAATTTAATTTTGGGATGCAAGCACAGTTTTTGTCTTTTTGAGAATATAGTATAGTTTTTCAGACTTCCAAATTTATGAAAAAGACTGTCGTCAAACGAAGTTTTGTTCGATAAGGTTGCTGGTAGGAATCGGTCGTTCACGCTTTGCTCACACGGTGATGCCATTGTGTAACCACTGAAGTAAAATAAAAATGGTCGATGTTTGTAGAGTACATTAAGCGTAAGCCACACTCAGCATGAATTAAATATAACTTCTTTTAGGAGTCATTATAAGTGTTTTGTGTAGTCTGTGTCCATCTCACACATCTCTGATTTAATTTCACTAATAGCGATTACGGATGGCAGCGTGCGTATGAATAGTACCTCTTCACAAAGCAAACTTGCCGGCAGAGTGGAAGTTTTCTACGCTGATAAATGGGGGACCGTCTGCCATGACTACTGGGACGATAAGGCTGCTGACGTAGTTTGTAGAGAGCTTGGCTTCAAAGAGGCTAAAAGTGAGTATAAGGACGCTACACATGGCGAAGGAAGTGGGCCAATCTGGCTTGACAACGTGCGCTGCTCAGGGAGTGAGACTCATCTCTACAAGTGCAACAAACGAAAATGGGGAGAGCACGACTGCACTCATAAACAAGACGCCAGCATGGAGTGCAGTTTTGGCGCTACCCAAGTTAGGATACACGGAAGTAAAAACTATGGCCGCGTTGAGGTTCTTATAGAAGGCCAATGGGGTACTATCTGTGATCACAAATGGGACATAAATGATGCAGCTGTTGTCTGCCATCAGCTAGGTTTCAAAGGTGCACGCAATGCGCATGGAGGCGCAAAATACGGTCAAGGCTCCGGTCCTATTCATCGGAACCTTGTTAGATGCATGGGTGACGAAAAATCATTGCTGGACTGTCCATATGGTTCATCTCGCTATTGCTCGCACGCTGAGGATGCTGGTGTTGATTGTGCTATTTGAACGTCAACTGATATCAAAACACCCTCGAAAACAGATGTGCTTGATATCTTGTCACCTGTAATAGTGGTGCAGGTCGTGATAATAATCTTTTTAGTCATAATAGCAGTAGCAGTGAAACTTTATTTGAAACGGTGCCTCCGTTACAATCAATAACGAGAGTTGCTGAAAGCGATAAATTTATCCAAAATACTGAAAGCTTAAATAATATAGATAATGGGCAGATTATTGGCAACTAAAATTCTCCCTTGCGGATTTGGCTCTCTTTAACAAACTTAAATGAAAATTTAAGTTTATTTGTCGGTAGATTTATATCTTTAATGTTTGAAGTACGAAATGATTCGTCCCTAAGAGAGATGTGCAGGAGAGTGTAGAGAGATCAGTATCTAACGGCATTTTTTAATTTTTATGAAAATTCTATTTTATTTGATCGATTTTTGTGCGGAGAATAACCATTAGCTGCGTTGCAAGACTATCTAGACCAGAAACATTGCCAAGAAACATTAGACTATGACATATTATCTTTTGTACCGGTAGGGCCGAGAATTCAATAGAAATAAATCGTACTATATATATCTTATAAACAATACAGTTGAAGCTGAGAAGTCAGTGATACAAAAACGCATAGTTTCGGGTACCATATATATAAAATGAATCTTCATGATTTCGAACGGAGAGAGGTTAAAATAGACCTTGATTGACACTACATAACTCGGAGAGTAAGATACAATACGGCCACACAAATCCTAAGGCCCAAGTGACTTTCAAACAAGGCGAGAGATAATAGAGGAGACATTAGTGCTGAAACTACCCTGAAATGCTCATAGCCACTGAATTCTTTATTTTCCATGTGAACCGTAGACTTTTTAAATAAGGCATATTAAAGATACTGTGTTGGAGCGTGGCCGTAGTTGCAGGGGAGGGGGTTTGCACCCCCTGCTCCTTAATCAATATTGTAACTAAGGATGGCTTTAGACAAGCGCGAATGTTATGTTCAATTGTTGTACTTTAATCCAATTTAGAACTTTGGATTTAAATTCTTCTCTTAACTAGCTTTTAAGTTTCATTTTTTGTCTCTCAGCCGGTGTGTGCGCTATGATCGGTCCACTTAGTGGGCCGTATTTCTCTGTAGGGCCTGCTTAATTCGTTTTCTCAGTGGTTAAGTTAATGAAAAGAACATCGTATTTTTGCGCTCAGATTTATGGCCCACGCGCCTCGCGCTTGGGTTATAAATCCGATTGGAACAAACTCGATCTGTCACTTATTACAGTGCGGTCCTCGAACTCGATTAGCAAGGAATATGTTTACTACGATAAGTCAGACATGCATTCGGGATAGTTCGCACAAATAGGAGATAATTCAAATCTTTTCATCCTTTCGTTCGATATAATCAAGAAACGCACATTTTATTTCAAACATGAGGAGGTGTTTTTCATTCTTTGTGGAAGGTTTTTATAGTCCCCATCTACCTCATCACACAACTAAAATTTTAGGCATCACCTAAATGACTACATCAAACTAATTTACTCACCTTGGCTTTGGTTTTGGGGGGACATTTCGAGTTTGTCCTACGAGAACGTTAGCTAACGCTGTATGCGGGCCGTGGCAACAACAACAACAACAACAACAACAAAAACATTGTGCATGAAAATAAATCAGCCTAAAGGAGTTCCAGTTAATTGTGCTCCGTTTTTCAAATTTCGGTGGAAATTATTGCATTTGGAAGTCGGCAGTCAAGGGATCTGCTGATGTTTTGATGATCACATCGTACGTTTGCGTGATTCTTAAGCCTCACATTATGTATACTATAACCAGACGGCCAATGTTATTTCCGCATTTTGATGTTCTTTACACTGCTCTTGGTTCATAGCCTGAGTGAACGAATCATATCTTTTTGTACATGATGTCACTGTTTTTGTATATACGTAGACAAATATTTACCCCAGTGTTGGTGGATAGTGGTGGATAGCGGTGGATATTTACCTCACAGCTTTGCGGCTCGGTAAATATCCAGCACTAGCCACCTGTAGTTCGGTGAAAAGTAGTTACCTTCTATCATATATAGAGACCTAAATCTCTTACAAAAAAAGACATCCTACCTGTATTTCTCGAAAAAACAAACAAACAAACAACAACAACAACAAACTAGAAGTGAGCTGATCTCCTTATAATTTCTTAAAATGACATGAACAAATTTCTTGTGAGTTTGAGGTTGGCAGTATGAAAAACGAACAACCGTTTCCATTCGATAATACTCATAACTTGCTCGGCGACGCTAATAAAAATCCGGAACGACATTAATAACTAAACGATCTCTGAGATTTTTTCAGCCCTCGCTTAAAAACGACAACTGCCTGCGGCGCGACTTCAGACCAAATGTCTCAAATGTCTGAGTTCATAAGAACAGGGAAGATCGGAGACACTTCGTTCATCCATATAACTATACTGAAGAGATTACCTTACGATCGCTTGATCAAGTGCATTTCTGAGTTAAGTTGCCTTAGTAATAAGATCCAAATGAAGACAATCGTTCATCAAGAGTATTGACAGGCAGGAAATGATAACAAAATAAATAAATAAAAAAAAAAAAAATTTGTGGAACGATTTCCTAGCGGAATCAAGATTTGTCAGCTGTCATTGAACATTTAGTTACATTTCTTATAAAGAGTTATTCTCATATTTATCTGGGTCAGTTTTCGTCCCTGGTCTGTGGTGATCACATCTGAGCACCGAAACATGTCCTCCTTCACAATGAGAGGCGTATTCCTCTTGGTTTACTGCTGTCTCATCATCGAAGACTCTGGAGGTACATAACTTTCTTAAGTTATTTTATTTGTTTGAATTTTTAGAGAACATCCTGAGCTGTCGAAATCCCCTTAAGAATGAATTGAAAACAAATTGAAATCACTCGCACGGAAATCGCCTCTTCAAAATATACCGTTTTCTTGGACTATGCTCATTTTTCTTTTTATTTCCCGTCGAGCAGCATAGTTTAGAATTTCACACTGGCAAAATCTTTCCTTGAAAACTTTAAATGCAAAAATAAATAAATGATTTATCACTGGGAATGAAAAATCTAAAAAAAAGCTCTATTTGTATTGTTCTAAATAAAAATGACCTCTTTTCCCCCGGGGTTGCCCTATTTCCTTATTTTTGTAATTGAGAGGGAGTCAGCTATCATTCAGTCAATTGTGAAAACATCGAAAAACATTTTTAACATAATAACGAAGACCAATATGGAATGCAATTTCAATCAGAAATTGATGCACAGATTTGTTAGGATATTATTAAAATAAACCTTGCGCCTGTGCTTTTAATCCTGTTTTGCTATTATTACATACACAGACACAACATGGTCCGATAAATCCTATGAAATATGCAATTTCCTTGCAAGGACAACGGCGCGAGACGCTCATTTCCGCTCGCATGTGTCAGCGAAGCTCAAACAAAAATCCGACCGGTCTAGGCAAAGCATAGGGAAGTTTCTAGATCTCCGGCACTTAACTCAATTGAAGGGTAACCCGAAAGGAAATCATTGAAGCCCAAGATCTAGGTCTAAGATTTAAAGCCAGGAAAAGACACATCTACACCATAACAGATGCTCCAGATAATTTATGGAATTTTTAGAACAATCATGATCAATACTTACTTTATGTCTTCATCTATTTATTTACTTGTTTAATTTTGAATTCAATTTTTATTGGTTAGGAGTCGAAAGGGGCAAAATTAAAAAGGCATCAAGTCTGAGAAAATGGTTTTCATTGCCAATATGTGCCATTTAGTAGCAGATTTCCGGTTCTTTGCCTGTTCGGCTGTTCGTTACTATTAATCACGGCCACACTTCATCCATTGTTCTCGATTTTGCGTTTTGTTTGGGTGGAAGACGTGACGACAACCTATTTCAAGGCTTGCTTAGTACAAGGTGGTCAAAATTATGGGGGCAATACGACTATCGATTGGTTTGCATTCCCGGGCCATCAGGCTGGAGTTTATCATGGTGAAGCTGGCTTCGATCCATTTACTACGGAGAGGAAATGCAACCTGATTACATTTCCCCGGGTAAAGTACAACATTAGATATTAAAATTCTAAATTGAAATATTGAGGTAAAAGTATTGGTACGGAGAACATTTTACTTTGCGGCCGTACTCGATTGAAGTACTGCCGTTCAAGTTGTATTAGTTGTTGTAAGCTAGTAAATGAATTCAGAACAGTCTGCGGTATCTTGGTTCAACTTGACTATGAAACATAGAGCATACTAGTTACCGAGATGTCTGACGCTGTCCAACCAATGGAGCACAATCATTTCCCATAAAAGGGCGAACGTGGCGTTACTTCAGGCGAGATCTTTACTCTCGTGATACCTCTCTTCACTGTGGAATAATAATATATGAGCAATAGCCTCCACTTGGGGCGAAAATATGATCGGGTGTTCGTACGTGGGCATTACCTGTTCTGAGATGCGAACAATTTTCCAGGAGCAAAGGACATCACATTTCTAGTATATGCTGATATTTTCGTCTGTTTCATCCATCAATGCGAGTTAAGTTTCCTATTCATTTACCTGGCTTTTTTCTTCGTTTCTTCCCTGTATTGGCAACCTTTCAAATCAAAGCAACGAAGAGTTTGCTACTGCTTGTATCTTTCAGATTGAGCGCTTTCCGACTTCGTTTTACACACCACCAGTTGAACTCTCAACTGCTTGTGGTAATGAGCGTCAGAGAAGCGACGACAACAGCATGTGCTCGATGAGAAAATCGATTATTGTTTGGTTAGAGGTAAAGTTGCCTTTAGAGAATAATGTCAAGGTAATCTCTCTGAGCAAGAAGGTTCTTTTCTTAATTTTTTTGCGCCTGTTAACTATTTCTCTAGGAAATTTGTTTTCATTACTTTCATGCTCTATTTATCTCCATTGGATTCAAAATAATTCGTTAAATAAATGAAATTGTGACCTTTTCATATTTTGTTCCATTCAAGGAAGTTACCAACCATCACTTTCGAGTG